GTATTTAAAACTGTGTACCTTCAATGTACATATTTCGTAAAACTTTATGCATAGCAAGTTTGTTTTGATCTTCGAAATTTGTTATTTGATGTTTTACATTTCTTTGGTAAACTGTTGAAAGCCTTCTGACTCTAATCAAATTAGAAAAGTTTTATTGTTCCCTTTTATCTTGTCTCTTTAATCTAAATCGGCCGAATTGTCTTTGGCTGAATTGTCTGAGTTTTTTTGGCTGAATTGTCTGTATTTTAAATCGGCTGAATTGTCTGTGGCTGAATTGTCTCTGCGCCAATTCATACTTTACTAGGAGCGAAATCTATCACTTTGTATTTTATATGGCGTTTCGGGGGATGATAACAGAATTCAAAAAGTAAACAAGACTGCTCGTATCAGGGCGAAGCCCTGAAAGTTCCGACTGCCTTTTAACGTTTATTGAGCAGTAATAACATAAACAACATAGAAAAAAATTAATGAAATAAAATAAAATGAAAAACTTTTTTTTCTGAAAATTGAAAAAGTTTCTACGAAAATCATCCCCCCACACGCCATATAAAGTATAAAACAATAAATTTCGCTCCTTGTAACAAATCAATTATGGCAAATATGCTTCTTTCAACCAGTTTGGATTGATTTTTAAGACGGATTAAATCTCCGCTTACTCGTTAATAGCGCGACTTATATCGCGCGTTAATTGTCGCAAATTGGTCAAAATGGCCATCTTTAAACCCTCATAACTTTACGAAAAATGATCACAGGTGAAATATCTTTTCAAATTTAAGCTCAGGACAACAATGGCTTTCGAATGATATAAAAAAATTCCGTCAAAAATGGCTTGTTAAAAAGTCGAAATTTGTCTGAAGAAAAAAAAACCCACCCCGAGCACAAATATTCCGTTACTTTCGTATCGAAAGTCGGAACAAAAAAAGGCGTTTATTGATCCATAGGGCTAAAAATGCAGTCGGATCATTCAGAGCTTCGCTTGAGAAGATGGTGATTGCAATTGTTTTAACCAAATCAACCAGATCTATCAGTGTTTTAATCTCTGCATCAGTATAATCTACATTGAATATTATGAAATCGTGAAATTAGGATATTTGGACTGATTAAGTAAAAAGACCCAAAGAATATTAGAAATTAAGAGCGAAGTAGTTGTCCCGAAGTAGCACTATTCAACCTCACATAATTTAACAATTGGCCATCGAAAATCAAATGTCTTTTAATTTTAAAAACTGAGCAAGGAAATAATTATCTTTTGGACTGTATTGATAGATTTTTATTGATTTTATAGATTTTATTGACCAAAATCGCTAATTAAAAAGTTGAAATTTGTCTGAAGAAAACAATCACATCCAACAAAAACATTTCATCATTTCTTTGAAAGTTTAAACAAAAATGTATCATTTAGTTTCAAAAAAGAGAAGAGTTCTCACAGTTCTGAACAACTGCAGAAACAGAAACCGTTAACTCGCCCCAATACAACGATCAAAAGTTTTAAGCTATGTGACTTTAGAGATATCACAACTGGTTTCTGTATAACTCATAGAAGCATTGCGACCAGACTATGAGGTAGAATGAGCTTTTTGAGTTATAGAAAAAGTAACGTACTTACATTAGAAACTATCTTATTCAGATGCAAAGCACAGGTTCACACCACTTGCGATACCGCACAAAATAAGCATTGCAAGCTAGCAGAAATGAAAGTCACTAACTCCTAAATAATGGAAAAAAAAACTTTTATTTTTTCTGGAATGCTTTTTCTTGCGAGTTTTTTATTCGCAATGAGTAGAAGTGACCACGCACTTAAAAGCCACGCATTTAATGATCCAAGGATGTGCTATATGAATTCAACTTGAACTGAGAAATAAAGCACTTCTCATATTTAAGCGCGAACATGGAGTGTTAAGCATTTAAAAAGTACAAAACTAAGCCCTTAGAAGTTTCAAGCATTGAGAAACGATGTAAAACGATATATGACTTTCGCATTAGAACCACGTAACTGTAGGTTACCAATCACATGAGTTAAAAAGAGAGGCAAAACTGAGCTTTGCGCCACTTGCATTGCAACAAGTATAGGATTAAAACAGCAAGATACTCAAGAACTATCAAAGAAGACTTCGAACGTTGTTGTCGTTGAAATAACTAGAAAAAAAGAAAATCAAGTTTTTTATGTTTAAACATATTAAACTTTTTAAAAGGTTGCAAGTGACGTTGATTTCGAACATTCAAAACTTAAATTTTGGGCCAAAGAGTAAGATCTCAAAAACAATTCCCGAAATTTGTAGGAAAGAAAATATTAGGTAAATAAGCCGACAGAATTGAAGCTAAAAGTCCACAAAAAAAATCACAACCAATGTACAAATTTAAATTCTGCCAGATTTTTAGAATGCTAAAACACTCAAGGTAAGCACAATTCAAACTGTTTAAAAAAACAAAAAAACAATTCTCAGATCTGGCAACTGAGCCGACAAAACATAAGCAGACACACAATAGCCCGAATTCTTTTAAACAGGAATTTTTACCGTTTGAAAAAAAACAGGTCCTGGTCAGATTCGAACACTGGATCTTTGCCGCCCCAGGCGTATTCGTTAACTCCAGGCTAAGAGGGTAGGAGACGGTAAAAAATTTGAACACAGTCCTGTGAACACAGTTATTTACGGGAAAAAAGTCGAGTACCCGATTGCAATACCCTTGTTTTCGCAAGTGTAAAAACTCCCTAAAAAGCGGGCGTTTCAACCAATCACATGCAAGTGATCAAAATAAATCAAATACAAGCAGCCTTGAATGTGCTTTTAGTTAAGCGGTTATAACTAACTGATGATAATTACAACCACCAAATAAAATCTATCTATAATTAATACAGAGGCTGAAACTCAACATAAAAAGGTTCCTAGATATCCTTTGAGTCATTTTCCCTCGCGCCCTTGTGTTCAGCAATCCGTCTTTCAGAACAAAACGAATCATGTCAATAAATTACGCGCAATTGAATGAAAAACGCAGAAAGGCAATTAACTTTTTAGAGGTACAATGGCGTTTTTTGGTTATTCGAAATCACAAACAAATAAAAATCTTACAGCGCTGAGTGAAGTATATCCTGTTGCTTGAAAAATTCTTGCCTTTCTAGAGTCATCAAGGTTATTTCAAGCAAACTTTCACGTTAATATGTTATTTTATTCTTCCGAACACATTCTGACTTCCATCCTATATTTCGCTGGAAGAAAAAAGAAAGGATTCTAGAGCTTTCTGGTAAGAAAGTCAATCCCGATTGCAATATACTTCTCGTCACTGTAATCTTTTGCGCTAGTGATTTTCAAATATAAATCAACTTTTGAACTTAAATTTCCAGAGAAAATTGTTTTCGTTTCAACATTTGCTATTAAAACGTGTTTAGCTCCGCGTGAATATCAAATCGGAAAAAAAGAAAGCCTCTAAGACAATAGAATGTGAAATTAGCATCCGAAAAAAATATAAACCGGTAACAAAGCCGAAAACATTTTAGCAGAAATCCTTGAATCCGGAAAAAATCAACAAGGCTTAAGACTTATAAAGAGTTAAAAAGTACCCCTTGCCCTCAAAACACACATAAATTAAATTTTATTTGGTCGTCATAAGAAACAATATGAGGCCACGAAGACGATATAATATAGATTGAAACCCATTCAGCCGAAATGTGAAAATGAAAAGCCTAAAAAAATCAAAAACGTTTATTGAGTCCCCTCTCCCTCAAAACACACACACACAGACACGCCCATAAAATCTTTTATCACTCGTCGAACGACGCAATATGAGGCCAATAAGTCGCTATGATATCGGCCGAAACCTATCAAGCAGATAAAGAAAAAAGATATATATCTTCAGCGGTAAATTTGTAAATAGGGGCTTCGAAGAAATGAGTCCAGATGAGTCCTTTGTCACAATTTTTACACACCCTCCTACTTTTCACAGCGTTCCTCAGAATACCACTCACACTACTTCAAATGGTGGTTTAATTCTCTTAGCTCTCTAATGAACATTCACGTTGCCAAACTTTTCAAAAAAAACAGGCTGAGAATGAAGTTTAGGGACCAAAAAATTAAGCAAACAAACCGAACAGGAAAAAATTTATGCCATTTTTGAAATTTAATACCGCGCACCTTCTCGTTTCCATTTTTTGAAGGTAATTTGCCTTCAATTTCGAACAAACAAAGCAATTAAACTTAGCATGCAAAAGTTAATTTTTGCCGCTTAAGTTTCAACCTTGCTTTTGAGATTACCGAGGTAAGCGATGAGATGAAACTTATTATGCCAATCACCTCCCGGCCCTCCCCCATTAATGGGTGGGAAGGAATTCGGGCTTAAGGTGATTTTTTACTACATAATTTTTATTACCGCTAAGACAGCTCGAACGGGTTTCAAATGCGGTATCATACTATTTTGAGACATCCATTTTTTTTGGCTGACTGACCCTAAAATTTTTCTACGGGCGCCTTTGGCGCCAAAATAGAGTAATTTCGAGGGAGAGCACGCGCCGAAAAAACGCAATTTTTTGGTCAAAATTTTCCGAAAAATGCCTAAAAACGCCTGTTTACTCAAAAATTTGCCTAAGGCGCAGAAATTTTGGTTAAAATGGTGTCCTTAAAGTGGTTTGGGAGACAGCTCAAAAATCAATTTGGGTCAAAGAAAGGCCGACAAATATTTTATGAAAATCCGTCCGCCCTCGAGAAAATCCTAGATCCGCCCCTGGTTAAATGTCAGTGATTTGATCAGCTCGTTTTGAGGAAATTTTCTTCAACTGTCCATTTGACATTTTCAAAGCCAAACAAAATTAAGCACGTCTTTTCACTGCTTCCTGTTGACGTGCTCTGCTGAAATCGGTAACTGAGGATTCTCTCAAGTATTATTCGAGACTGTGCGTCTCGTCTCTATTTAGCCTGATTTACTATCGCTCAGCGTCTGGTATTCGTGATAACTCCCGCATTCTTTTGTGGCTATTATGCCTACTTTGCCCCTTTTGATATGAAAAACAGAAAAAAAAACTTTCATAATTTTTTGTGTATCAACAATTTAATTAGCATATACAGTTATACATATTTACAGATTTATCTACATATATTTAGAATGAAAACCCATCTAGCTGTACAAATTATCACATCGAGATATTAAAATTAGTTTTTGATTTCATTTTCGACCGAATGTCGGTCTATAGTTGGAGGAGCTCTGATTTCTACTACTTGATTCACTCTCCGATCCACTTTCATTGCCATCACTTTGCTTCTTGTTTCTCATTTCTAGTAACTCTCGCATCTTGTTTTGGTCCAAAGAAGAACTTAGTAATTCATTCAACCAGTCTTGGCCGTCGGAACTTTGTTTCAAATCTGTTTTAGTTTCAGATTTTTTTACTTTCACGAGATCACCAACAGTTCGGTTCCTGGCTGAATCTTGAGAGATCGATGCAGTGTATGTGGACTCCCTGCTGTCATGAAATGAATTCTTAATATCCGACTTCTCGACAAAACTATTATCGCTTTTGAAACTACTTTTAGAATCTTTGTTTTCGTCATACGAGTCTACCTCAAATTCAGCTGCAAAATCTTCCATCGATTTTTCCACTGGATCCAATTGTAAATTCCTTCGAGCGATACTTTCAGACGAGTCAATTGTGCTGTTTGCGTTTAAGTTTGCTGTCTCTACCCTCTCGTCATCTTTTTGGGGTGACTCGGGTTCAAAGTCATCTTCCACTTCGTAATTTTCAAGCTCCAACTCATCATAATCGTGGTAATCTGCGGAATGAGATTCTTGTTTATGCCCGTTAGACTGGTCCACGTCAAAAGATTCGTCTAATTCAACCATCGGCAAAATTTTCACAACCGTTGTGCTTTTCTTGCTTTCCGGGGTCACCGCATTTTTCTGTGCTCCTTGTTTGTCTTCGAATTCATTTTTAGCTTTCTGTTCAACTGCAGAAATTGGTTGGCTTTCACGGACAATTTCTCCTTTTACACCTTCCCGTAAAGGATTATCTGTCTCAGGAAGGGCCAGTTTGTCATGTTTAATGCATTGCGAAACTCGATCTCCTTGTTCTTTTGCCAAGCGTTTCTTACATAGTTTTTTCTTTGGTTTTTCAACATTTTCCTTCGCACTTTTTGGAATGATTGCATTCATTTGCGACTCATTCAGTGACATACTTTGAAACAGAGTTGGATTCGAACTCCGCAGCCGAGCGAGATAAGTGCTTGTAAGTCCGTATTCTAGTCTAGATTGGGGTCTGGAATGCGGTTTGGGCACTGTACTAGTTCTAATCCAGCTTTTCCTAGCTGGAATTGAGTCTCTTATCTTAATTTCACAAAGCCGCTTGTGATGGTGATGAGAATGATCAGGCAAAACAGATTGTTTTGCTTTACCTTTTGGGTGATGTAATAACGATGATTTTGGTCTTTCTATTATTTTCGTAATACCAAGTTCATTCTTGGTTATGGCATCGTCACTTTTAACCAGAGATTGGACACTTTTATCCACCTTCTGGCTATTTTCCTCAAGTTGCGCCTGCCTAGGGGATGGAAACTGATAATCGAAGTTCCGCTGGCCAAAAGAAACTCCAGCTTTCTCCAGCTCACAGTACAAGGCTTCTAGTATGGGAAAACTGGGGTTCAATTTTGGAACATTTACTCCAGCCGTACCATCGGATTGCACGCCGATCGAATCAGTTGAAAGGAATCGCCCCAATGATTTTTCAAACTTACCTAGTTGAGAATCAACTTTGATTTCATGTTTCTGCTTTGAAACAATATTTGCACTAGTTCTGCGGTAAAACAGCGTCGGCGGGTCATTTCCGGTTTTATTTTTATCTGCCACAGTTTGCGCTTCCAGATCCGACTTCTCAGGTGTTTCGGGCTTCTGAGTCAAAACCAAATTCTCAAGATTTTCTTTCATTGATACGCTGCGTTTTTTATCGGTCTGGGTCTCGCTGCTTTTCACAACTGTTGGCTTTGAACTTTTCTCAATTTTCGATGCTTCGATGTTATCTTTGTCCAAACTCTGAGCTAGAGGTTTACGCGTAAGCTTAGCGAACATGTTTGACTGCTCTGCATCAGAGAGTTTGCTATTCGGTATATGCTGTACAGCTAAAGTTCCCAAACAGTGCATTTTATAGGAAACAAGCGCAGTGCCAATCTCACAGCCCATTAGATTGTAGATAGAAAATCTTCCCTTTTCTCCCTTGACTACTGGTATACGTAGACCGTGTTTATCTAATTCCGATTCGAGGCCATCTGCAACCCTCAGAAGAGGTATTGTTGCTGAACCTCTGAAGGTGAGTCGCTGATCTTCGCTTTTATAGGCCATAAGCAAGTACAGAGGGATCCTAAATCAAAACTTATTTATTGTAAGCAGTATTAGTGTCTGGTTTAAATTTCTGAAGAAAACGAACTTACTTTTTGAGGTTTAGCAGTAAGTCCCGAACATTGTACCGAAATAGACATGACTTCCCAGCGGAGAATGATATCGAGCTACCTAATGCCATTTTGCCAAACTCAGCCTCAAGGGCTAGCGGGTCAAAATCTAGTATTTTCATTAACAGGAGCGGATTGCCATATTGGGATTCAAGTTGATCCGGACCTTTCAACTGAATAGTGTGGATAAACACTTCCGCCGAGAAAATTGCTTCCTCCATGACACGCCTGAAATTATTCAAACGCTAAGCAAAGAAGTAAAATGAATATAGATTGTTTTCGAGGCCACATCCTTCGATTCTGAGACGGACTTAGGTAAATTTCATTTAGATCTTGAGGCTGAGTTTGGCTAGCCTTAGGTCTCCCCTTCACTATTACTACTATTTTATGTCACTGATAAATATCATTTTTTAATAAAGATACTACTAAGCGATATCATTTTTTGGTTAAGTCCATCTCAAAAATTATCAAAAATGACATTTTTGGGGGTCCGTACCCCCAGAGCCGCATTCCCGGATAGCCGAAAAAACTAAAATTTTCATATTACGGAAATTAGTAACAAAACAAAATTGGATTTCACAAATTGGATTTCACGAAATGGATTTCACAACCAATTTAAATTTGTAGCGATCAGTCGGTTCATTTTAATGTCTTATTTTTAATTTCGCTTTTAATCGCCAACATGTTTGACCTCGAAACTTTCCGAAATTTGAGCGACGAAATGAAATACGAGCTGTATAAAGACTTGATCGAAAATGTTACTTATTTTAAACGACTTATCGAAAACTTAACTGAATCAACGAAAGATGAAGAAAAGGGAAACAAACTTATTGATCTAGAAAATTTTAAAAACACGGGCAATTCGAAAATTGCAGAAAACAAATTTGAAAATGAATGGAGCAAGATTGAAACTCGGAGCAGAAATCAGAACAAACGAAGCGAAAATAACCAAGAAAGCAAGAATAACCAAGAAATCAAAATACAAGCAACCAATATTCAAGAAGAAAAATTCGACCAACAACGAAAACATTTATTTTTACCACGAGAAGGAGAATATTCTGGCCTATTACTGGGAGACTCAATTGTTAACAGAATCAATGGGGATCAAATATCGGAAAATGTGTTGGCGAGAGGATTTGGTGGGCACAAAATTTCTGCATTGCTGGAACGCGTGAGAAACAGTAAATCGCGACATTTCAAACATGTAACTACGCTAATTGGAATGAATGACTGCCTCTCAAATAATTTCGACGCGAAGGAAGCCGTGAGTAGCTTAGAAAAACTAATTTATCTCGTAAATCATAAATTCTCCCCAGAAACAATTTCACTATGTACTGTAACTCCCTTAGGCGCTTTTAGAAAAGATTTTAATCCAAATGTACAGAAGCTAAACAAGCAAATTCTTAATTTAGTACGGAATGTAAAGGACTTGGGCGAAGTAAAATTTGATATTTTAGACATAAACAAAAATTTTAGTCAAAATACCGATGCGCTTAGCTCGGATGGTTTGCATCCTTCTGATGGGGGTGTTGAAATTTTGGTGCAGAGTTTTAGAGATTCTTTTAGAGGTTCTGATATTAATGCAAACACATGTGAGATTACAACCCGCCCCAGAATGAAGCAAACCCAACAATCATCAAATTTAGATCCAAAAACGACAGAAATGATACAATTTTTCCAAAAAGGTGCAAAAATCTTTAGGAAATACTAGTTTCGCATTTTTTCTTGGTGCAAATTTGGCGATTATTTAATTTATTTAATTTATTATGCTGAATATTAAATTCTGGTTGTTTTGTGCAATTTTTCTAATTTCCAAGGCTCAGATGGAAAATATAGAAAAAACCATTGTTTACTGGGGCTATCTAAGCTGCCATCAAAAGATATTATCATCGAAATGTGGGATAAATGAGCGGAGAGCTACCACACTGACTCATCTTTTCCTTTTTGCGTTGTTACTGACCCAAAGTGGGGATGTTGAAAAAAACCCTGGTCCTATTGAAACCATTGAAACAGTCTGCGGCATCTGCTCAAAAAATTGTGCAAATCTTAAATTTGTTCATTTGAATTTTCAAAGTTTTATTAGAAAACGGATGCATTTGAAAAAATTTCTTGATGATATGGGCGAAAATACAATTATAGGAATTTCCGAAACGTGGCTTAAAAAAGAAGATAGTGAAAATTTATGGAATCTCCACCCTAGAACGCATGCGATGTTCAGATATGATAGGCAATCAGCGGTAAAAAAAAAAGGCGGTGGCGTTTTGTTATATATACCAGCCAAATTGGCTCCGAAATTGAGGCCTGATTTAAATTTATTTGATAAAGAAAAATATGAGTCAGTGTGGGTTGAGTGCAAATCTACATTTAACATTTCCAGTAAAGAAAAAATGTTAGTTAATTTGTGTTATAGCAGATCAAGCAGATCAAACTTTATTGATTTTTTTGAACAATTATCGCTTAACATATATAATGCATTTTCAGTTTCTAATAAAATTACGCTTGTGGGTGTTTATAACATAAATTATCTGGATAGCAAAAAAAAATCTTAGATTCTATAATTCTTCCATATGGATTGAAGGTTTTTTGTGCAAATGATGAGACCAGAATTAGTTCCTCATTTAAAACTCATATCGACTACATTATCAGTGACTATGAAACAAACGGCATTGAATTTTGTTTTGATACACCTTATAAAACCGACCATTTTGCTTCATTTATTTTGACGGACATAAAATGCGGCAAAAGTTTACCGAGGATAATTTCGACTTTCAATAAGAAAAAATATCAGAAAAATGAATTTTGCAATACACTCTCCGTTCTTCCTTGGAATTTCTAGTGCTCTTCAGCAACATGCTCCTATCGAAAAAAATTTTGTTCGTAATTTTGAACCAAAAAATATATTGAAAACGGAATGGTTCGATTCATAATGTCAGCAATTGTTGAATAAGAAACAGAATTCACTCAAATCATATCGCAGTCAAAGCACAAGCGATAATTGGTCAAAGTGCCAGTTTTTACGTAATCAAATGAGCCAAATGATTAGAAGTAAACAACTCGAAGTAAACAACTCGAAAAAATTGTTTTTCACTTCTCAGCACTATCCAACAAAAATGGAAATATATTAACCAAGTTAGAGGTACATGTTCTGGCAACAATCGAATTACAGTTCTACGAAATTCCTTCAGTGAAATGATAACCCAAGACAAAAAAAATGCCAATCATTCAATTTATATTTTTTCAAACTTAGGCGAATTTTTCGGCGCTAAAAAGCCTCCGAATTACAACAAATCTGCCTCTGAATCTGCACCTTTCCATTTTCAACACATTACAGTGAATGCTTTGATATAGTTCAAAAAATCAATGTTAGAAAACCTCTCGGACCTTGTACCGTACCTGCTTGGGCAATCATTGACGGTCAATCAGTTATAGTTCCACAGGTAACTTTTGTCATAAATACTTGCTTAGATGAGAACATTTTCCCGATCGAACTGAAAAAAGCACACGTAACCCCTTATTTTAAAAAAGATGACCCAATGGATGCAAAAAATTATCGGCCAATATCAATAACTTGTGCTTTTTCTAAAATTTTTGAAAAAATTTTACACGCTCAAATAACAGAATATCTTGACAAATTTCAAATAATGACACCATTTCAATTCGGATTTCGCAAAAACATTTCAACACAAGATGCTCTTGTTTATGTGACAGAAAGTATTCGAAATCAAATAGATTCAAAAAAAATCTTACATGCAGCTTTATTAGATCTGTCCAAGGCTTTTGATTCTATTTCGCATGAAGTTTTAATTGAAAAAATGCTTTCTCTCGGTGTTTCAAATGGAGCAAATGCTTTAATTGCTAGCTTCCTAAATAAACGTATTCAAAGAGTAAACGTCAATGGAATCTTTTCAGACTGGATTGAAATCAAACGAGGTGTCCCACAAGGAACGGTACTTGGTCCGTTGTTGTTCAATTTATATGTTAATGACATTCAAGAGCGATTATATGAAGGTTGTACTTTAGTTCAATATGCTGACGACCGTATGGTTTTTTCTTCTTCTATAATTTCTGAGGATGCTTTGAATCGATTGCAAAAATCACTTAATAATCTAACGGAATTTTTTGCAGAGAACCAATTGAATCTGAATGCATTTAAATCGGAATTTATAACATTTTGTCAAAAAAATGATAGCAAAAATGTAGATACTGATACAATAGTAATTAATGGGCATTATGTAGCCAAAAAATCAGAATGCAAATATTTAGGCCTTATTCTTGATTCAAGTTTATTTTTTCATGCTCAAATCAAAACAATTCTCCAAAAAATGGCACAAGGAATTAAAACTATAGATACAATTGGACAACAACTGCCGACATTATCATTAGTTGCCTTGCTTCATTGTCTTGTTTTAACTCATTTAGATTTTTCAGCAATATTTTTACAACAAATTAATGCTACTATGATGCTATCTCTAGAGAAACACTGGGCGTTAAAAAGAACATATTTCAGATCGAAATTTAAATCTTCTTCCCTTCTTCGCATTAGCAAATCGTTCATTGTAATCGAGAAAAGAATTGAGTTAAAGTGTATAACATACTTATACCAATATCTTACAAACAAAAAGAAGGCTTTTCAAAATACATTGAGACTACCGACTGCCAATTATAAGCTCAATAAAAAAACGAAACAAATTATTTTTGACAAACATTGTTCAACCGCTTCTCTACAAAACTCATTTTTTCATTTGACTTCTAAAAAATGGAATTCACTGCCCATAATTTTGCGCAATTTAGAAAAATCGAGAACAGGATTCAAGAAAAAACTGAAAGAATTTTACGTGAGTGAATTGAGAAACAATCCAATATGTACAAATACAAATACGTGGCGTGATTTCCGTTTTTGCTAGTTCTATATGTTTTAATTTAGTTTAATTTTCCAGACATTTTTTGAAAGAGAATCTGTATATACTCTGTATATACGCTGTATGCTTCGACTATCTATAAAATTGTTTGTAAAGTTTTGATACCAGCTCGTTCTTAATTCTTAAAACTGATGTTTTTTAGTATCTGTAACTTCATATATTTTAATCAACCAATTTCTGAACTGTAACCGAACTTGTTTTGTTTTGTTTTGTTTTGTTTATTGCTTGTTTTCTGATGTTGTGTTTTGTTTGATGTAACCAATGAGTTTTAACCAACTTTATTATTTACACTTTGCTATACTGATGCCTCGGCTTTTTACTGTATAGTAATTCAGGTGTTCTTTCTTCTTCTTCTTCTGGATT